AAGGGGAGGTGGAGGTCGTAAAAATGTTTGACCTTGATCAACTCCATATGCACTCCCCCATTTGTACCTGTACCAACGTACGGTTGATTCTATCACATCCCATCAGCTCTGTCGGTTGCTACCACTTTTTTGACGCACCTTCAGGGTCCACATCCAACCCCCCCTCGATTCCAAATACTGCGATGTACGTTCGACGCATTTTTTGCGACGCGTGTTATGAAATTCTTGACATACACACACAGAAATCACGGTTTATATATAGTTGGGATCAGTTCACATCCATTCTCATAGAAGAAAAGTGAAGGCATCAATATATAACTAACTAAGGAGTGTGGGAATTGCACAAGTTGACGAATCGAACAGAAAACAAATTTCTAATAAGGTTTTTCGCCTAAGGTTGGCTGGACAGTTCCATGAAATAGGCACAAAGCAAAGGCAAACCAGAACAGTCACATTTAATGCTTAGAGGCTTAACCTCCCCTTCAAAAAGCGAGAAAGTGTCGGGTGCAGACCAAACACCACAACTGACGACGGCCTCCAAGTAAATCTGGTTAGAAGTTGTTCATAGTGATAGCTGATTTCTGGTAAATGATAGTTGTAATTAGTGACAATCGATAGAATACAACTGCAACAGGCTAATCATTTCATTGGCAGAAAACATTAACATTTTGTGAAGGCCGTCGTCACTTGTGGTGCATGGTCTGCACCCGACACTTTCTCGCTTTTTGAAGGGGAGGGTACCTAGCCAGAGGAAGTTGCCTCATCATTGTGAGGTCCTGCTTAGAGCACCTTTGAATTTCACACACAACGATTCTATACGTACTAATCTGAACATGTATGTATAATAATAGCCACAATAAAAGTGATAATTCTTGAGAGCTCATAGCAAAATTGACATAGTTAAGTTTGTGACCAGAATGGCCTTGAGCAAGCCCGTGCTCGACCCGAAATTGGTGCGCCGTCGTTGGTGAATCCGTTCGCTCTATCGATACCATTGCATAGCACAGATCGCGTTATGAATCGGAATGGAGGTGAGCGCTGCCAAAAGAATTCCGACCGAATCTGCCAACGAGACAGTCGACAGGGCGAATGAGCGAACCTCAGGATCGATCTGAAAACAAATTGGATCAGATAATAGTGCTTGACACGTAAATGCATGTGTCATTAGGTCCAGTTTTTGGCTATGGGAAGCATCCTGTACCATTTTAGGCTGCGCATTTATGAGCGATGGGTGGACAAGAAGGGAAATAGAGGATTAGCGGGGGTCAATAAAAGCAGAAGAGGACGTATTCCAAATTTGGAGCGGAGTTGGGTGAAATGAAGCTTGGCACTTGAATATTTTCCCCCAAGTATTCTTTTCGAAAAAAAAATTCGATAGGAGAGGAAGAGTTTTGTTTTTCTTGGAGAGATTGTTCCAATCGCAGACAAAGCGTCATATCGCGTAACGATGACCTCGAAAAAATCAATGCCGCTTTGGCTAGGCGTAACGTCGAGTGAGCCGCCAAGTCTGCAATTACGACACGTTCCGCTGTGGGGAGAAAGGGTTTCCAGTAATCTTCGCGAAGCACGGTGTTCTGTGCGAGGAAGTACGTCATACGTGTTTATTGCGCGCCAGTAGCTCCTTTTTCTCTCTCTCCCCCCCCCCGCCCCAGGTTATACGGTGGCCGACGGCTGGACTTCTTCATGTTCTATACAAAGGGCGCACTGCGACACTGCTCCTTTCCAACTCCTCGCGTATTACCTCCTCTCCCAAAAACACCTCGAAAAGTGATGGCCATGGAGTGCCGCAAAGATTACCTTCTTGTGAATATGATGGAAAGTGTTCACGTAAGATGCGCCTCCGATCAAGCCTTCATAGAGGACGATAGCGCAAACGATGCCGAAATTCGGGATAAACGCATAAATAGCGTTCAACATGAAGAATGCCGTGTTGAGAAGCTGAAAATGGACGGAATTCACATATTGATTTGAAATTTCCAAAGGCATTAGCGCTGTTTACCTGGAAGACAGGCATTAAGCCGATAAAGAGCATGTTCAATTGAACGAAGTTGATGGAGGAACGGGACACGAAGACGCCTACGCTGAGATAAAAGCACCTGAAATACATTAGAAAAAAAAAAAAAAAAAAAAAAAAAAAAAAAAAAAAAAAAAAAAAAGGAAAGAGAAACGAGTTAGTTACTGACAAGTAACGAAAGCTTGAGGGCGGAAGTGGTGTAGTGACAAGTGGCGCGCTTACCACGCGAGCGGTCCGGGGATCAAATCCTGGGTCGTGAGTCGCCCGGGCCAACCAAGCCTTCCATCCCTCCGGGGTCGGTTAATTGGTACCAGACTTGTCTGGGAGGATAAAAACACTGACTTGTACATCGGCTGGCCCCGCAAGTCATTGTATAGGCCACATCGCATTCAAACGCCACTGCGAATGTACAAATGGAAGTAGAATGCGTGCCGCATCCCAAAAAGGGATTGATCAACGGCAAATGCTTTATCCTTTTATCCTTTAACGAACTGTCTCGTCGGTCCTTTTGAAGTGGGAAGTTGATGATTGATTGACAAAATCGATGCAAAAAATACTCACCTGATACCATCGATACTGCGATGCTGGACTCGTGCCAAAACCGTGGGCACAATCGAACACTGTGAGTTCAAGCTGTAATGTGATGAATATTTGAGTCATTGAAGATCAAGTTAGAGATGGTCAGAAATATGCGAAAAAGAAGCAATTGAGAAAAATGGCCTAGAACACGAGAAATGGGTTCCCTTCCTTGCCCTTCGATTCCCGCGTAGATGTGACTCTTATCGGTGCTGCTCTCTTCAACGCTAACACTCTTTCTGCCAAATGGCTAGAGACTCGACAAGCGACGACGCGAGAGGGAGGACATACCGCGTCAATAACGGGCATTCAACAGGGACCCGTTGAACGGTGTGAAGGCAGAGATGCAGACGGACCAGCGGACGAGTCGCAGCACGTGCTGCAGTGATTCAGCGTCAGTTCGAAAAGGACCATCGTCACATGTTACACAACACCCGCTGTGACTTCCGCTGACTTGCCTACGTTCCCACCTTTTGCCACGTAACGGGCCCCTTGTTGGGTTCCCGCCGATAACGCGTCAACTGCGCCACGGGGAAGGCCATGCTAGATCGCCGGTTACATCCCCTTGCGAATTGTGTGTCGGTCCGCATCCCTCTACCACCCAGGCTCGCCTGTCTATTCACTAGGTGAGTTTCACTTCTTCGACCTTCCTCCTTATCGTGGAATCCTCTTCCGAAAGCACTTCCCGCTATTGGATCGGTAGGGGCTGCTTGCGCACGAAATGAACGTAGCTTGTGCGAAGGCCCATCAGCCAAGAGAAAAGAAAAGTAACGAAAAGAGAAAAAAAACTATTATGACTAATAAAAACAAATAGCCGTTCGTATGGCCAGGGTTTGCGTACCACTGTTAGGCCGATGTCATAGTTTGCGAATCGAGCGTTGCGCCAGCGAATCGAACGTTGCGCCAGCGAATCGAACGATTGCACCAGCGAGTCGAACGATGTACCAGCGAGTCGAACTAGGTACCAGCGACTCAATGGCGGGACCCAACGTTCAAAGGAAGCCCGCCACTTTCAAACAGTGTCACGTGACAGTGGACGCTGTTTGAAAGTGGCGGGCTTCCTTTGGGTCCCGCCACTATTGAGTCGCTGGTACCTAGTTCGACTCGCTGGCGCAAAGTTCGATTCGCTGGCGCATCGCTCGATTCGCAAACTATGACATCGGCCTTACTGCATTGGTAAAGTTGAAATTGCCACAGTGAAAAGTGTTAAAGATTTAGGTTTTCTACAATGATAGACTTGATTCCCCCCCC